CCAATCCTGTGCCCAGCGGTGCCATTTCCATCCCCACATCCCACCCTCCTCCTCCTCATTCCTGATCCCACAGAGGGTCCTGCTCCCCCAATCCTGTGCCCAGCGGTGCCATTTCCATCCCCACATCCCACCCTCCTCCTCCTTCCCGATCCCACGTTTCTCCTGGAGCCGCTGCCCCCCGCTCTGTGCCCCCCCAGGTGTCCAAGCTGGTCCACGCCATCAAGATGGGCTGGATCAAACCCCGCAAGCCCCGGGACGACACCCCCACCTACTACGACCTGTGGGCCCACGAGGACCCCAACTCCATCCTGGGCCGCCACAAGATGCACGTCCCGGCCCCCAAGCTGAGGTTACCTGGGCACGAGGAGTCCTACAACCCCCCCCCCGAGTACCTGCTCAGCGAGGAGGAGGTGAGGGGGGGGCCCTGCAGCCCCCGGGAGCCGCTGGGAAAGGGCTGGGAATTCGGGAAGCTCCGTGGGTGTTGGGACAGGACGCGGGTGGGAGGTGGGACCTCGCAGGGGAGGTCGAAGCAAAGGTGTTTTCCCATCCCTGGAGGTGTCCGAGGCCACGTTGGAGCAGCCTGGGATGGTGGGAGGTGTCCCTGCCCATGGCAGGGGGTGGGAATGGATGGTCCTTAATGTCCATTCCAACCCATTCCATGATTCCGTGACTCAGCCCCTTGAATTAAAAAGAAACCCGGGGCCGCATCCCAGGGGTCGGGGTGGCCCTGCCAGAGCCCCCCAGGATGGATGGGGATGTCCTGGTGTGGGATTGGGCCTGGCACGAGGCATCCAGAGGCACGTTCAGCCCCAGGGGCTTGGGAAAAAACAGGGAGTGAAACCCCAGTGGGCTGAGGAGGGTGGAGTGATCCTGGGGGGAGGAGGGGGGTGGAAGGATCCTGGTGGGATGAGGAGGGTGGGAAAGCCCTGGTGGGATGAGAAGAGTAGGAAGGACCCTGGTGGGATGAGGATTGGGAATGGGAAAGCCCTGGTGGGATGAGGATTGGGAATGGGAAAGCCCTGGTGGGATGAGGGGGGTGGAAAGACCTTGGTGGGATGAGGAGGGTGAGAAAGCTCTGATGGGATGAGGAGGGTGGGAGAACCTGGTGGGATGAGGAGAGTGGAAAGACCCTGGTGGGATGAGGAGGATGGGAAAGCCTTGGTGGGATGAGGAGAGTGGAAAGACCCTGGTGGAATGAGGAGGATGGGAAAGCCTTGGTGGGATGAGGGGGATGGAAAGATCGTGGGGGGATGAGGAGGGTGGGAAAGCCCTGGTGGGATGAGAAGAGTAGGAAGGACCCTGGTGGGATGAGGAGGGTGGGAAACCCGGGTGGGATGAGGGGGGTGGAAAGATCCTTGGTGGGATGAGGAGGGAGGAAAGCCCTGGTGGGATGAGAAGGGTGAGAAAGCTCTGATGGGATGAGGAGGGTGGGAGAACCTGGTGGGATGAGGAGGGAGAAGAGATCCTGGTGGGATGAGGAGAGTGGAAAGACCCTGGTGGAATGAGGAGGGTGGGAAACCCAGGTGGATGAGTGGGATGGAAAGATCCTGGTGGGATGAGGAGGATGGAAAGATCCAGGTGGGATGAGGAGGGTGGGAAAGCCCTGGTGGGATGAGGAGGGTGGGAAAGCCCTGGTGGGATGAGGAGGGAGGAAAGATCCTGGTGGGATGAGGAGGGTGGGAAAGCCGTGGTGGGATGAGGAGGGAAAAGAGATCCTGGTGGGATGAGGAGAGTGGAAAGACCCTGGTGGAATGAGGAGGGTGGGAAACCCAGGTGGATGAGGGGGATGGAAAGATCCTGGTGGGATGAGAAGGGTGGAAAGATCCTGTTGGGATGAAGAGGGTGGGAAAGCCCTGGTGGAATGAGGGGGGTGGAAAGACCCTGGTGAGATGAGGAGGGTGAGAACACCCTGGTGGGATGAGGAGGATGAAAAGATCCTGGTGGGATGAGGAGGATGGAAAGATCCTGGTGGGATGAGGAGGGTGGGAAAGCCCTGGTGGGATGAGGAGGGTGGAAAGATCCTGGTGGGATGAGGAGGGTGGGAAAGCCCTGGTGGGATGAGGAGGGTGGGAAAGATCCTGGTGGGATGAGGAGGGTGGGAAAGCCCTGGTGGGATGAGGAGGGTGGGAAAGATCCTGGTGGGATGAGGAGGGTGGGAAAGCCCTGGTGGGATGAAGAG